TTGCGCGGCGTCTGGGAGCCTGGCTAGCGCTACCCAGCCCGTCTCGATGGCTTCTTCGAACCGTCAGGCTCAGCTATGCGATTCAGTTCGCCCAGCGCCCTCCCAAGTTCAGGGGCGTCCTTCAGGAAGGATGGAGCTTTCGCAACGTCCCTGTCCCAAGTGGAACGGGTATGTTTCCCCAGTGTTATCCAGTCTTACTGAGTGTGTGATAATTTAATTTACAATAACTGCTTTGGGTGTGAGTGATCTAATGTTTAGGAGCCCAAACTTTAAAAATTGTTTTTGATGTTGTCCGACAGGAGTTCCACTCCGACTATGCTGGGGTGCAGGCCATCAGCACGAAAAAGCCTAGGACGCTCCCAGAAAAGATTCCAATTATTAACAAAGAGCCGTTTCTGTTCTTTACACCATGACAATAACCATTCATTTAAAGCAAAAAGTCTACTGAACCTTTCGTGTCCTCGTCGATACATGGGAAGCGGACCTGACACGATGATCGTCGTCGCGGGTCTCGATCAGACTCCTGAAGTCCCTCTTCAGACCTTCAAAGCTATAAATCTGCTAGCATGTTTCCTTATTATTATTATTATTATTATTATTATTATCATTATGGTTTTTATTTGATAGTTTACTGTGCATAACCAAAACTACTCACTTTACCCATTTTCATTACCGACCATGTAAGTCTGCATGAAGTCTCCACTGAACAACAGACAAGAGAAACAAACACCCAACAAGCACAGTATTGTTTCTAATTTTTATTTCTCAGGCCTAAACAGAGAGTAAATGTCTGTCTGTTTTTTTTGTTTTTTTTTGTTTTTTGCACATAAGACTAAAAATACTCTCTCTATTCCAGTTTTCTCACACTTTTGAACTGATCACTTTTCTAACAATAGAGATTACATAGATTACATAACTGCAGGGCAAAAGTCTTCATTTGTAATTTATAATATACTAAAAATACAATATGTATCATGGCAAGCAAATGGTTGGGGTAATTAAGTCGTCAAGGGAGGCAAAGAGAGGTCTTAATTAAGTTACGAAAACGGCATACGCTAGAGCCCCAGAGGAATTTCCAGTGGAGCTTGACATGCTGTGACTTATAATGTAATTATAGCTTTAATACCAAGCTAAAAACCAATGCAAACAAAATGCTTTCGCTTCTCTCACTGTTTATAACCTAAAGTGATAAAGAAAGCTGTAATCTGGATAAATATGCGGAAAATCACAACTCAAAAAACATTGTTCAGTGTTAAAAACACAATCATGATTTTTGGCCAAATTGTTGTGGCAAATACTGTTTTCACTAGATTTATTCCTGCAGGAACATGTGCCACATGCAAAGTCAAAAAAATCTGTTTAAATAAGGTGGTAGTGATTATCATAACTTAATAATAGGCTAAAAACGAGGTAGGTCTTTCTCATCACTATTGTGTGAACAAGGTTTAGTGCTTTAGGGAGGCTGACCTTACATTTAATGCACTCTAAGATGATTTAGATGGAAAAACATCTGCTAAATGG